AAAAAAATTTTTAAAGAATTGATTTGATTAGATTTTTATTCACAGATTTAAACAGGTTTCTGTTTGCTTGGGTTTTTTGTCTCAATGTTTTATTTTCTCTCCCTTCTACCTAGCTTTCTTCCTTTTACTGTTACTAAAAGGGTGGGGGGAGAAGCTGTGCTTTCTTCCTCATCTTTGTTCAAATGGGAAAAAGTAAAGAATTGACTCAATTGAACATAAAGAATCCCACATACAGATCTCAGAAAATTTCCAGAAAGATGTATTGTATTGAAGCACACTACACAAATGTAGAGAGAGAGTCCCAAGGGTTTATGTATGGACCGAAACCAATTACATTAAACTTTTCCTGGAATTGCTTGCTATTGTCACGATAAATGATCACAAGTAAGACATTCAGATTGAGAATGAAAACATTTGTTCGAGTCCTGTCTCACTTTGTTATATTGTCTTCTCACAAAGGAAAATCTTTGAATAGTATTGAGTGATTATCAAAAAGGTCCTGTTTCTATAGAGCTCTGAAAGGTGTATTATTACCATTTCTTTTCCTTCCAGTTTAGCTTTGTTAGGTTGTTTCAAGAGAGAGATTTGAAGTTGTCGTGTAATTGATGTCCTGATGATGGCATGATGAAATCAGCTAATTCAAATCTTCTCAGAGAAATGTTTAAGTCTGGATTAGACTGTATTCTTTTGCTTGTTCTTTAATTGAAAGAAAAAAGACAAACATACTTTAAGGCAAGCAATATCACAACTATAGTAGCATACATGAAGAACCTTTCTCTGTGTGCTGAGCACATGCATCCAGGTGTACTGTTTTTACCTGTAAAAGCCAATGAGAGTGTTTTGTTTTGTTCTGTTTTTGTTTTGTTTTTCTGAGGAGGGGGAAAATACACACATATACATGTGTGTGTATTTGATGAATTAAACCATTCTAGCTTTCAAATAAAATACTATAGTATATTGCTATTGCATTTGGCATTATTCAATAGTTGATTTAAAAATGTAGAAATCTACCTTTGACTTATCTTTAGTTCAGATACTTATTTGATAACTGTTAATCACAAGGGGCTATGTGTGTGTGCATGTGTGTGTGTGTTTTAATGCCTGGGCCTGGACATTGGTGTTTCATCAATTTCATCTCTTCCCCGTTTCGAGAGCTATCAATTTAGATTGAGAGGAGGACTGGGTAAGCAAATGATTGGACCAGTGGCACTCTGCTGGCACAAATTACTTCCTTCCTTATGGCAGTTTAGGACAATTCTAAATTAAAGTTTGAGAACGTTGAAGGATTTCTCTGTGACTTCAGGTGAGACTGGAGAAGTTGTTGGTGACCAAATCATGGAGGGCTTTGAGGGCTTTCTCTTTGTGAAGTGCCTGTTCAAGTGTGTTGCCCAGATTTTATTTGAGTATATTTTCTTTTCTTATTTTACTTAAGAATTATTTATGTATTTTGGTTCTTGAGTAAATATATGTATTGCACATACCTTCTCTCTCTGGGATTATAAGCAGGAACATAATATCAGATTTTCATTTTTAAAACATCACTGCAAGAATGAATAGGAAAAGTTTTTAAGTAGTTCTGGTAGAAAATGGTAGTAGCTTGGACCAGGGTGTGAGACATGGAGAGACGTGGACAGGATTAAGAGATATTTAGGATAAAGTCAATGGGACTTGTTAGTAAAGATTAGAAAAGTGGCAGGTAAGGTGAGAAGAAGGGGTCAAGAATGACTTAAGTTTCTGTTTCAAAATATAAAAGCTATGTATATTGCCAGTAATCAAGTTCTTATTTTGTTTAAGATGTTGATAATATATAGCGTGTCCCTCCCAAAATGTATACACACTTGAACAGCTAATAGCTGTTAAATGAAAATGAAATGTATTTTCATAAACACTGCCTTCATAATTATTCAAAGTGTGTGTATACATTTTTTGGAACACCCTATATATAGAATATTACAAAGATTATTTGCTTTGAATTTAAGAATGCTATTTAGAGTTTTTAAAAGTGATTTTGAAATGCAAATTTGTTTTCTGCTTTTATGGTTTAATAACTTTGTTATGAATTACCTCATGAATTATAGAAAAATATGTTCAAAATTACATTACTTAAATTTGATTTTAAAAACTGTGGCTGTAGTAGACAGTGAAATATCAGTAAGATGTTGCAGGGAAATAGAAACTTAAGAAAATCAATGAATTAAACTTGGCTTTTTATTTTTTTAGGGGTCCCTTCAGTGTTGTACGACGATGTATCAACAGAGAAACTGGGCAACAATTTGCTGTAAAAATTGTTGATGTAGCCAAGTTCACATCAAGTCCAGGGTTAAGTACAGAAGGTAAGAGATGGATTTCAAGTAAGTTATTTGATGTCTGGCTTTATTTCATCTCCAAAATCCATTTATCAACCTAACCTTCATCTGGGGATGGGGAAAATGGAGGGTATAATGTAGTGAGAAGTGGGTGGAGACGATTTAAACTCCATTCTAGTTTATTAGAATTCTAGAACATAGTATATTTGAAATATAGTTAGAGTGATTTACAGATTTATAAAGTCATCTAGGATTGCTTATAGGCCTATTTTTTTTTATTAGGAAGAAAGTGCAATCGGAACATATTTTTTAAGGTCTAATTTTGAATCTTATGATATAGAGCATGGGATGGGAAGGTAGGGAGGGAAAATAATGGAAAAGAAATGATAATTGCAGATTCAGAAGAAACTCAGATGAATTTTCTTCAGGTCCATAACTTACTACCTTCAAGAATATGATCTAAAAGAACTAAAAAACTCATATTACATTGGGCTTAAGTCACATATGGTGTATATGTGAAAATTTGAAAGATCAGTGCTGTTAGGATTTGCTGAACTTGACATTTTGTTTCAAGACATTGATATAGGTGATCATATTAATGTATAAATCTTTATAAACAGTATGTAAGCATTTAAAATTATTTTTTACAATTTTTAAGCCATAGTTTCATGTAGCCACAATTCAAATATGCCCATACTTCATATGGCATAATTATTATATTCTTCTAATTAGCCTGTCTTCTAACTTTAGACTTTTTCATAGTCCAGTAGAAGACGTATCCTTTAGTTTTTTCCTTTTTAATCCCAAGAGCAATACAGTTAACAGTTTAAATTGGAAAACCTAAGGCAGAGTGACCTATTTATATTTTATCCAGTTACGCTACTTTAGGAAGTAGAAGTCCACATAGTCTGAGCTCCAAGTTAATCTGTTCCTGCAGATCTTTTTTTTAGGATCCTTACCTTTAAACACTTTTGTAAACCTTTGAAATATTATTATCCATATACTGATTATAAAAGATTCCTGGAGGTTGTTACTCATAAAGAATCACTAATTGATGTTTTTAGTTATCTAATATTTGAAAATTTATGGTAAGATTTAGAGATTTTATATCTTATGGTTTCATACTGTGGAATTGGCTGTCATTACTTTTGAATACAAATTATTTTATAAATTTAGCAGAATTTAAAATTTACTTTTAATCAGGCTTTACAGCTAAATTTAACTGCATTTAAGTTTAATATACTGTATTTGATTTTCTGAAACCTCAGTTGTCAACTAATAAAGAAAACCTTCCTGAGTACTGAAGTAATTTTGCATAAACCTAGTTTATTAAACATATAGATGTGTTGAATCTTTATTTCTCTTAAATGTTCTGATACTGTTGAACTGTTAGTAAGATTCCAGTTTAAAATCACAAGTCTAAGTCAATTACTCAATATACCTATAATATATTAATTTAGTTCATCATTATACCTAATTCTCAATCTGTCCAGGCTAAAGAGAGTTTTAGGGAGACAATTCATTACTTTCTCATTTGGCTGAGGATGTTTATTGATAGATTTTTTTTCAGCAAGGGACCTCTAGAGCTATAGACCCAGACTGCTAGGCTGAACCTCCTTTTTTTTCTTTTTAAATATGTCTTTATTGATTTCAGAGAGAGGAAGGAAGAGGGAGAGAGAGAGATAGAAACATCAATGATGAGAGAGTCATTGATCAGCTGCCTCCTGCATGCCCCCTACTGGGGATCGAGCCTGCAGCCTGGGAATGTGCCCTGACCGGGAATCCAACCCCTATCTCCTAGATCATAGGTTGATGCTCAACCACAGAGCCACACCAGCCGAGCAGGCTGAACCTCTTTCAATTGTCACCTATCAGGAGTCAAATGCCAAATATTTTTTTAAAAGAAAGGGCTGGCATGTAGTTCATGCCTCTTAGTTTAAGTCTTGTCTTTGCCTAATATAATCTGTGGGAATTCGTAGCTCACTCCTTCATTACTTTGGCATTGCTTTGGCTACATAAATGTCTTCAGTCCTGTTCTGAAGACAAGGCCAGGTCATTCCACTGATCCTGTATGGATACATATTGAAAGATATCCAGTCGAATTCTGTGTATTACTTATCACTTTATCTCGTTTTCATCAGATTTGATGTTCTTCAACTGAAAATGTGCAATTTGTTTTTTATATTTATGACACCAAATGTAGTTTTAGCACAGTGACTGAGAAACATAATCAAAATTTTATCTCCACCCCCAACCATTTTTTTGCAATGGAGTTCCCATACCCCACACTGACAATGTTCACACTAGCTTGCTTTATTCTAATTTGAACACATTTTATTGTAAGATACATTATATATAATAAATAATAAAGTATTTATTTCATTAATTACAACCTCTTTGAACAGTGTCCCCCACTCCCAACTTCTTCGAACTCATTTCCCATCACTACAGTTAAAACATTTTATCTCCTTTGCCCTTGCAAGTCAATTTACAAATTGTTAGGGTACAAAATGACCTCATTTATGGCTAAAGATAGGAGATGCTATACTAGGAAGAAACATTTTGAAGCAAAATTTAACACAGCAAAAAGTTCAAATAAGTTGATAAAAGAATATCTAGAAATAATCTGTTTTTACCATTACATTCTCTTCTAATTAATCCTGTCTCTCAGGCAACAGATATTTTAACATCTATTATTCTTCAGTCTTTCCTTTTCTACTTTATTTTTGTCTTTGTAGTTTATTTGATCTTTGTCATTGCCTCAACATTTTTTCCTGTTTTCTTAGTGCATTTGTACTCAAGTATATTATTGGATAAAATATGTTTTATAAAGGGTCAAAACATGTGCTGTTTATTTGGATAGGTCTTTACAATACAAAGACAAATTTAAAAAGCATCTACTCTTAAGAGACTTATAGTTTAATAGTCTCCAACCATTGTATCTAACAGTTTTATGAGAAAACATGTATAAATTCTAAATATAATGTATAAACTAGCTTTTGAAATGAAATATGTACATTAGTTGGAGACCACTTATATGTTTTAATATTCTTATTACTCCATTGAAGATGAGATATTGTAATTATTTGAATGTCTCTTCTCTATTTTCCCATTAAAGTCATAATTTTTTTCTTCAGTGGGGATTTTTAATGTATAGGCTGCAGAATATCCAAGAACTCCTTAAATTGTAAGCAGAATTATATATATGTTCATTTTCCTAGGAAGAGAATTCACAGCTTTTATTATATTCCTACAAAGTCATATTATTTCTAAATGGTTTAGAACGTCTTTCACATTAGGATATTACTTCTGACTGGAGGATATTTTTATACTTACATACAGAACCCCCATTAATGAAATTTCTTTACTATTATCTTAAACTTTTAATTAATACACATTCTATCTCTTATTCTGCTGAGATACCAATGAAATATGACATTTTTCTTTTAAAAATAGATATCAAAATTAATACAGGCAAATTGCTATAAGAAACATAAGAAAGGCAAGATGTATTGGACACTGAATTGACAGGGTTCTGAGATCTTGAAGGGACTCAATTATTTATGGTTTAATTCTAAAAATTGAAACATTGTGGGTTTTATTTTGGAATATTATTAAGTTGTCTTCTAGAAAGAATATAGATGGCGTTCCAGTTTGCTTAGTCTTCAAGAATATCTCATTCTAAAAGTTCTAAATAGCAGGTGATGTCAGCAAAGTTGGAGGAATAAGGACCTTCGACAATTCTCATCTCCATAGAAGCAAGGGTAACTCTTGCAAAAATTTCAAAATCAACATTTTCAGATCTGTGGAAATTCGCCAAAGGCTTGCAGCTATCCAGGAAGGTTTTTTGAGGAAAACAACTGATTCTTGATAAGAACAGTGAGCTTTGTGGCATTTTAATTTGCCTCACTCCCATTCCATTCTCTCCAGCTCCACAGTAACCTTGAAAACAGTTCATAATCATGGTAAAAAAAGAAAGGAAAAGAAAAAAGAGCCTGGCTGTCACCAAAGAAGACAGAACAGAGATGGAACTTCTTCAAAGCCTCATACCCAGGAAATTGTCATTATTCGACCTGTCTGGAAGACTCCACTTACAAGGCTTGAGGCAGAAGATAACAGTTGGAGCAAACAGAAGGCTAACCTAAAAGCTTACAAATAAAAACTGATTAATAAAATGTCTATAGGGGCCCTGAAAAGTTTTAGTGTATTCTTGAGAACCAAGAAGGCCATGCAACCCTGCCTGGGTGGCTCAGTTGGTTGGAGCATCGTCCCATACACCAAAAGGTGATGGGTTGATTCTCCATCAGAGTACATACCTAGGTTGTGGATTTGATCCCCAGTTGGAGTGCATATAGGAGGCAACCAATCAATGTTTCTCTCACACATCCACATTTCCCTCTTTCTCCCTTCCTTTCTCTCTAAAATCCATAAAAGAACATATCCTCACATGAGGATTAAAAGGAAAAGAAGGCTACGCACATGCACACTGGCAAAAACTGGCAAAATCAACATTTTCAGATCTGTGGAAATTCGCCAAAGGCTTGCAGCTATCCAGGAAGTTTTTTTGAGGAAAACAGCTGATTCTTGATAAGAACAGTGAGCTTTGTGGCATTTTAACTTGTCTCATTCCCATTCCAATTCTCAGCAATTGTAGTATTGTACACAAGCTCAGGAAAGATCTGAAAGGGACTTAAGCTCTCAACTCTAGCTGCCTTTCAGACTGTGGAAGCAGGAATTGAATGCTAAGGCAGAGTTGTCACCTTCCTGACTGAGTGTTGAAGGTGTGCCCCAGCACATACACAAAGCCTGTGAACAAAGACTAAGCTAACCAAGCTGAGACTTAGTGGCCACACACAACAAAGAATACAGACTTTACAGAATCATCTCCAAAATCTCACTAAACAAACAAACAGCAACAATAACAACAAACCCTGGAGAGGAGGTAATATTCTGATTTCCAGAGTTTTCACATTATTTCAAATGTCTAGTTTTCAACAAAAAGTTATGAGACATGCAAAGAAACAAAA